GGCAAATATATGGTCAGAGGTGCTTCGACCGGGCCGGAAGCCACACTGCTCTTCTTGGATCTTGAGGTCTTCGACGAGCATTCCAGCGGATATTCAAGAACCGGTTAGGGAACATAAAGCGAGTAACAATGAAAGTGTGGACACAAGTCGTTCAGAAGCATTTTCCATTGTTTTTCTAGGCAGAATGGGAAACAGGTTCATAACACCTAATGCTTGTTGCGCGGCGACTACTGCAATCCAGACATTAATCAGTTTGAACAACAAACGTAATTTTCGATGCATGAGACAATACGGGCCACCTTTAAAGGCCAGTTTCTTCAATGCTGATCAGTTAGATATAATTCTTCAATTGCGACTGAACAATTTTTTTTATCCATGCCTAAAACCAAGATCATTGTTTCAAGCAATGTGTCAATATTGAAAAATAGACAGAAAACAGTTTTTAGAGAAGTCAGCACTGTTAACCGAACAATATAACCTTAAACGAATAGCCAATTCGGTTCGACAGTAGTGTCGAGGCAAGGTCAGATGCCGCTGAGCGCGTCCACAGGTTGCGGATAGTGGGACAACAATCAGATATGAGGGTTAGCTGTGAAATAAGCGGAGAACATGACAAATAAACAGTCGCGGACAACGTGACGACAGTGTTACGCGGGTGCGGCAAGCCAACCTTCGGCAAAGTTGGCTCTAAAAAATACCGCATGATCCGATGACAGCGCGGTGACATGGCGAGTACATGCCGCCATCAAATAAGCATGATGCTAACCCTAATGAGCCGTAACCGGTTCCCAGCCTGGTTGAGAAAGACAGGTTGACGTCAGGCAGGCAGCCAGCCTTAAAAACCAATGCCAAATATGATGAGGCAACCTACCTGTAGAAAGAATTCTAGGGCGTTTTCCACAGGCGACACGCATCAGCAAATCCCGGCTGCTGTGATAAACGAACAAGGGAACCAGTTTTTGCGACGACGGTAACCGCAAAGAGAGAGACTGACATGTCAGAAACGAAGCGAGAAAACCAAACAGCCACTTGGAACATTGGAACAATTACGAAGAACTAGCGGAAGCCCTTCAGAAAAGAAAAGTTCAGATCGCTTGTATTCAGGAGACGACATGGAAAGGTGATAAATCCAGAGACTGAGCTGGGCTATAAACTCGTTTACTGTGGAACATCAGTCGACTTCTGGGAGAGCCTAGACATTGCACTGCAAAGTATACCGCGAAAAGAAAAGGTGATAATCAGGGGTGATCTTAATGGGCATGCTGGGAAACATTGAAGGGGTTACGAGAGGATCCATGGCGGACATGGACATGGCATGTTAAATAAAAAGAGAACATCTTGCAGGTGGCAGCTGCATATGATTTGGCTCTGATAAACACGTTCTTCCAGAAAAGATAAAACCACATGCTAACCTACAAGAGCAGGCAGAAGAAACGCCAGATCGACTACTTCCTACTCCGGAGGGACGAACTTAAGAACGTCGCAGATTGCAAGGTCATACCTAGGGGAAACTGTCAGAAGCCAGCACTGACTACTGGTCCTAGATCCCTATCACAGAAATAGCTCATTCAGGCGATGAGCACGATAAAAGCTCGGAAGATACAGTAGTGTAAGCTCGAAGGAAAGCAGAAAGAAGCGTTCAAAACGGAAGTTACGAGAAAAATGAAGGAAGTCTGGAACAGGAAAGTAAACGAAGTATGGGAGTGGATGACAGTATAATCATAGGGAATGCCAGGTCGGTGAAACAAAAGGCACAACACATCCAGAAAGAATCGTGGTGGTGGAATGCGGACGTTCAGGCGACCCTTCGGCAGAAGAAAGAGCTGTTCAAGAAATGGCAACTATCAAACAGTGCGGAAGACAGAGTAAAATATGCTAGATCGAAGAGGAAGGCAAAGAAAGTCGTCGCTGAAGCAAATTCTACAGCGTGCAAGAGCATATGCGAAAAACTGGCAACAAAAGAAGGGAAAAAGATATCTACCGCACAGCAAAAGCCAGAGAATGAACGAGAGACGCCGGCATTGTGAAGTGCATAAAAGACGAAAACGGAATGGTGCTAATCGACGAGAAAAATATTTGTGACCGATGGCGAAGGCATTTCCAAACGCTACTAAACGAAGAACGTCCCAGACAAGTCGCGGAAGAAATCCCACGAAACCAGGGCCTAGTCGAAAAGACGTCAGCGGAGGAAGCAGAACAAGCCTGGGGCAGAATGAAAAATAAAAAGGCCCTTGGTCCAGAAGAAGTTCCCATAGAAGCATGAACAGCACTGGGGCAAAAAAGCGTGTTTTGGCTCTGCGCCTTATTACAGAATTACGTAATGTGAGAAAATGCCAAAATCATGAAGGCAGCGTATCTTGATGCCAATGTACAAAATGAAAGAGATATGCTCGCATGTGAAAACTACAGGGGAATTAAACTGCTCAGTCACACCATGAAGGTATAAGAGAGTGGTGGACAAAAGACTGAAAGAGGTCGACATCACCACGAACCAATTCTGCTTCATGCCAGACAGATCAACCACGGACGCTATCTTCGCTTTAAGATCAGTCCTCGAAATACACAGAGAATGCAGACAAGACATTCACATGGTGTACCTAGACCTGGAGAAAGCCTCTGACCGAATCCCGAGGCGAGCACTGGGGTGGAGCATGAGAAAGAAGCTTGGGCCAGAAAAATATGTCAGGCTTATCAAAGACATGTACGACAGAGTGACAACGATAGTCCGAAATACATGCGGCAAAACGAAAGAGTTCCGTATGCGGGTAGGAGTCCGCCAAGGATCCGCACTGAGCTCATATCTGTCCTCGATGGCGACAGACGCGAAAACTGAGGATATGCAGGAACCAGCCCCATACTGCATGCTCTGTGCAGATGACATTGTGCTATGCAGCGAAAGCAGAGAAGCTGTAAAATCAAAAACCGATGCATTGAGAACAGCTCTTGAAAAGTACGGCTTTCGACTCAGCAAAGGCACATAAGAATATATTGCGGGCTATTTCAGTGGGGAAAATAGATTGAAAGCCATTCAACCAGTGAAAGTAGCGGGCAGCTTGCTGCTTCAAACCCAAAAATTCAACTACCTTGGTTCCATCCTGCGAGACAATGCGAAAATCGACAGGGAGGTAAGAAACCTGTGGAAAACGTTTTGGCTGATACGGAAAGAGATGAGCGGTGTACGGTGTAACAAGATGACCATCGGAGTAAAAGGGAAGGTGTACATAACGAAAGTAAGACCAGTGCTTCTGTACGGAGCGGAAAGTTTGGTTACCCTGGAGAGACACGAGCAACAGCTGAACTCGGTAGAACTGCGAATGCTTAGATAGATGTGTGGCTTCAAGAGAAAAGGACCACATCCGAAACAGCTCCATTAGAAACAATCTAGGAGTGGCACATATTTCAGAAAAGCTTATCAAAAGCAGGCTCCATTGCTTCGGTCATGTAAAAAGAAGACCCATCAAGTACGCTGGAAATGTGGTCCAAGCATTGACACTACCGGGAAGAAATGAAGGGCAAGACCGAAGAAAAAGTGGCGCGATGTGGTCAAGAACAATATGAAGTTGCGAGGAGTCCCTGACGATCTAATGAACGAGAGAAAAATGAGGCTGACTCGATTAGCGGACATCTGTTAAAGGGAACATGCTAGGAACAAGAAAAATAATAGCCAGAGCACATTTAGGTGCGAGAGGAAATTCAGGTCAGAGAGTCACGTTTCTGGTGCTTACGTTAGCAACTCTGCATACGTATCGGCAATACAGGGTTTGCATGCCGCAAAACAGTCTGAGAAAAGTCTAGTGAGCACCCCTACTCCTCCAGCGACAGAACTGCAACATTGTTATTGCATAGAGTGATTGTTGTAACAAAAGAAGTTAAAAACAATAAATCAGGACTGAGAGTAACTAATTAGGACTGAACGCAAACACTGATAACTTGCGCGTGACGCATTAAATCTTTACTGGAAATGACTGAATAAAGCGAAAAACAAATCGGAACTGCTTTCGGATCTTGTGTATCCGATTTGTTCTCTGAAATATTTCCCCTCACAGTTTTACTCATTTTAAGTTGACAAGCAATATAAACAGGGTTTATCAAAACACAATGTAGTAGAGCTACTCTATCTATCATGAGAAACCAACGCTTCGGGTCGCATCTCACGGGTTTTCTTTAAGATAAAATAGTAGTAATTTTT